ATATCTTCTGTAAATACAGAAATAGATTGGCACACCAAAAACTTTAACCGCCTTTCTGAGGGACATTTCCTTTTTTTGAACAGCCTCAATTGCCTGCTTCATCTGATCTTCATGCCAGTTTGCACGGTTATTACTCATGACTTTTGGTAAAAGATACACAACTAGAAAAAAAATAGAAACAATGTTCAATTCTTGAAGTAGTGGTATGAAACTTAATTTATGTTTGAAGAGACTCAGAAAAATGCTTCCTATCAATTCCGCGATGTTTCTTAGATGAATATTATGATAGGCCTACGATACTCACGATAGAATATTGTCCGACTCGTTTTACCCCAAACGACATATCAAAATTGAAATTGGAGTTTTTCATAAATGGGTTTGAAATTACCATTTCGAACATATGTCAACTCATTTCTACGTGTTTTTAGTGTAAAGAAAATTAATCAAAGTCTGAGGTTAAAAAAGACAGAGCGTCCTACATAAAGTAAAAATAGTAAACAAACCACTATGTAGATGGTGCCATAACCAAGAAGAAAACCTTGAACACAATACAATGCCCTGGGTTCCATTCCCACAGAACAGAGTTGATGGAAGCTCTGAAAAGAACACAAATAAACAACTCTAATATAGAATTACTATTCAAAGGTGCTGACCTCTCATCAACAAAGTACTGCATTTTGAAGAAAGAAGAAAACAACCATGAGACAAAGAAGCCTGATGGAAAAGACTGGAAGAACCCCAACCAACAAGCAATAGCATAACAAATATGCCAACCCCCCCAATCCCTTGCTCTTTGTTGCAGGGGGTTTAGGAGACGGGGACTGAGGCCCAATGTGGGATCACCCCTGCTTTGGTCCTCAGCCCTCGCCTCAACTAATTTTGCATGGTCTTTTATTCTCCTCCTCCCCTTTCCCTTTTCTTCATCCCCTTGTTCTGTCCACAGTACTTTATCATAATGCTTCCTAATTCCTTAACTCATTCCATTCTAACAACCATTACCTTATACTATACCCCATCAGCTCCCCCTCTCTACCCTTTTCATTGCCATACCACCCTCTAGGTGGTCAAAAGTGCACTTCCACATCATCCTTTCCTCAGTTCAAAGGTGTCCCGCAAGGCAGTGTGCTCAGCACCACCTTATTCCTTCTTGATGTTAATAACATTGTCTCAGTTCTACCCTCAGGAGCCCAGTCATCACTATATGTTGATGATTTAACCATATTCGCCTCTGGCACATCCAAACCAAATTTCCGCCAATT